CTTATCGCTTGTTTGTTTTGCGTAGTGCTTTATAACATCAATGTAATTTAATATGCATATTTGATACTTAAATTGCTATGAATCATAGTTTTAAGTTACTATTCATTTGTAACTTTACACTTAAATGCTAAAATACTATTATTTTTTATAGTATTAAGATACTAAATAATCTAAAATACTATTATTTTTACCTTTAAGCTGAATATGTTAGAAAATACATAAGAGATTAAATAAACTTTTATATATTCACCATGTACAAAATTTCAACACCATTCTTTCCAAAGTAAGAAAATTGCATATCATATAATATTTCTCATTAGTATATACTTTTGATTTATAAATATTGATCACATTTGGAAGTTAACTTTTATTATGATTTCTGATCTTTTTCTTGATATCCCTACTTCACTCCTATGTGTATGTTTACGTTGTAAATATTTTGCTGATTACTAGCTGTTGCCAATGGCTTTATCTAATTATACCACAGAATAACACTAAAATTGGATCCCAATTTAGACCCAAATTATGGAAACCTCAAAAAATCCTAGTGGTTTTTGCATGATGTCATAAAAAACAGGTAAATATAAAATGTTGAAAATGGTTGTTTAAAATTCTTTTATATATTCAATCTCAACTAGTTTTTCAATAATGTCAATTTACAACTTCATAGTAGGTAGATATGTAGAAAATACTTAGAATGCCATTGCCAATAATTTCTTTAAAATGAAATTAAATTTTTTCTTAAACAGTTTGTATTTAAACCTTCATTTATAAAACATGTAGACTACAGACTTATAAAATGCCCTGTTGTCTGTTGCAGTTTTAGGACTTTATTATAATATTATGTAGGCTAAATTATTCTATAACAGAATCTAAAAAATATTTCATAGGAAAATATTGATTTTTTTTCTACACAATATAAGATATTAGGGCACACTTCACCAGTTCTGAATTTGAATTTGTAACATACCTAAGGACTGTTCAAAAATTGTATACCAGATTATAATAACAGAGACAACTGTGAAATAAATTGTAATATTTGGTTTCTAGGCAAAGTTTGGTTTTGGATCTTATCAGAGAAATAAGACCTTGTATTTTATGATATCAATGGAATTAACACATTTAATCTGCATATATTGTTTCACAGATAATTTAAATACTGTAATTACAATAAATTACAGCTACAGTTCTAAGATAGGCTTATGATTACAATGTAAGAATATGTCATATATCAATCAGTCATTGAGAAGGAATGTCTAACAAAACATCTTTTTTCATTTATAAGGATTTGATTCTTTGAAATGGTACCTGAAAGTATTATTTGAACAATTATAAAAAATCCAACATGATTTGGTTAGGCAATTTTCATTTATATAGTTACAGACACCATTTTTAAATTTCTATTGTAGGTCGAGTTCATGCATTTAATGATTTTAAACATTCAAATTCATTTAGGGTGATGATTTCTTTTAATTCTTGAAATAAACTCAGGACATTTCTATCTCTATATGTTATCTAATGGGTGTTATGCAGTCACCTAAAGAAATGTCTGTAATCTTTTTGAATCCTGATGAATAACTGAACTGGAAAAGTTTAATCAGGGATGGACAGCATTATTACAGAATAATTGTGATTCCGCTATTACTGAGGCATGTGTCAGCATGATCCACCATTGTACTAGGCACCTTTGTTCAGCGGTGAACTCTTGATGATGCTGACTTAATTCGCACTGGAAGATGAAACAGTATGCAACGAGTATATAGAGCTTTGGGAATTTGTGTGGTTATCAACCCACATTTCTGCTCAGGGCCATTGCCAGATAAGAAAGACTTTGTATTGTTGTAAAGATAAGATGGTGTTTATTGAGCTGTCTGATGTCTGATGAATTCTGCTATTTTTATTGACCTTGAGATCCACGTGGATGAAAATGCTATCGGATTGGTCATGCACATAAAATTCTCACTAAATGTTTTGCGCTATGAAATTAGCATTGTAGTAATAAAAATATCAGTTGTTTTAAAAGCCTTGTTTGGTTACACCTGATGGTATTTGCAGTCCTTGGAATGTAACTAATTTCACATCGACAAAGTTACTTGGTGCTTACTGAATATTATGATCACGATAAATTTATTCATTTATGCAATGCAAATATTTATGATAACAATTTTCGTTAATTGATTCCAATAAATTACTATCTGTGTTTTATTTCAGTGTTTAAAGAAACAATTTTTTGGCAGACTGTGAATAATTCTATTATTATTTTGTTAAAGGGAACTAATGGGACATATAAAGAGCTAGAAATATATAAAATTCCTTGAATACACAGAGCATACTTAAAACTTAGTCAATTTCTTTATATTATAGTGAAATAGATCAAGGCAGTTTATAGTCCTATTTTAATGTATAAAAAAAATACTTTACTGCTATGGAAATGTTAATTTAGTATTTTATAAATATTTCTCTTTCAACAACCCAGGAAAATAACAAAACTAAGAGTATCTTTGACAACCTTCTTTTTTATTCAATATCAACAAAATCTGAAATTTAACTTAAGACTCTCATTAAAGCAAGATCAAAAGTGGATTGCAGAAGAAGATATTATTTTAGGTAAATAATACCTTAGTATTTATAGTTTTTTTACTTAGTCTTAAATTTTTTTAACAAAGCATTATCACATTTTATATTTATTACACAGTATGTAAATGAACAGCACCGCGTCACTTCTTGCTGTTATAAAGTACCATATTTTAATTGCAACAAGTATAATGTAGGTAAAGATGAACGTGACTAAAAGCAATATGTAACTTTTTTAATTATTAATAAACTGTCTTGTAAAATTTTTTTTCCACTTTTACGGAGTTCCGGCTGCTCTTCCCACCGCTAAATAATTGAGACTTACTTAGTGTATCTCATAATTTTCACTGGAATTGATACGCGACGGAGAAGCGCATGTACATTTCGTTTACGAGAAATCTTCCGACTTAGCATGAATGATAGAGTTTATTTAATGCCAATGACTTTTAGATGTGGTGTTCATGTATGATCAGTATGGATACGATACGATGGTAAATAACAAAAATCTCAATACCTACATTACATTTTTATTGTGATTTGTCATCAAATTTCATTGACACGCATATGACTTGGTTGCGCATTGGTGCCAAAGTGCGCGCGCAATCAGCTGGCATTGATGACGCGGTGCTTGATTTGTTTTTCATACGTAAATTATTTATGTTGTATCTTATAAAATAAACAACATTTTTACAACTTAATGGTAGAGATTACATAGGAATATTATGCTCTGTGTTAGAAACATGTGACGCGGTGCTGTTCATTTACATACCATATACATGTAATTCTGCCATATAAGAATATAGAAAAAATTTGTTTCCAGAAATAAAATACATTACCAACAGTCAAACACTTAAAGAAATATTTAAGTGCAAATAAGATGTATAAGTCAAAAATAAACTAAATGCATGAAAATTTATCAATTTAAAATCAATGGGTTATCAGGTAATTAGGTTTTGTAAATTTGCGAAATTTTACTACAAAAACTAACTCATAAAATATTCATCCAAGAACAGTTAATATATAGTCCTTGTAAATAAATGTATCAACTAGCTTCCGACCGCGGCTTTGCCCGCGTATACAATGAATTTCTTCATTTTTTTATATGAACCAATCACAGTATCTACTACTATTCTGATTCAGGTCTCGCTTCTAATTCCCGTCTCAGTTCTGTTCTTAATTTCGATCCCGTTCCCGCTCTCATTTATGGTTCCACTCGTGCTATTGTTTACGGTCGCGGTTCTGCTCTCGATTGTAATCCTGGTCTCGGCTCAAATTATCATTCCGATCAATTGATCACAAAGGAACATAAACTCTAAAACTAAAAATACAAATTGCTATGAGCGGCATTGTAGAAGGGAATAACCTAAGTCATTCCATTATGAAAAAATCTTCCTTCCACGTTTTACCCTGATCCTGGTCCTGCTAGCAATTTCAGTCCCAAACTGTCGTTGATCCTGATCTTCCTTTGAACACTGTTGTCACTAATAACCAATCGGTGTAAAAAAGGAATAAATCCCTTCTATATTCAAGCAATCAAAACCATAGGCGAAAACTAGTAAACACTAAGTAATACTCCCACTAATCTTCACTTTATCAGAACTTAGATTTTGAATTTAAATGATTTTTGTGTGATGCAGGTTAAAACAAATAGACAAACTGACAAACAGAGTAATGAAAAATATATATCATTACATTCTGTAATCTATTCATAACCACACAGTCATTTTTTTACAAAAATCTTTAATATACTGATATCTGAGGTGCACTAGCAATTCTAGGCCATGTAATGCCAGCCACCCCATCTCAACTCCGTTTAGTATCGTTTCATGGTTACATCAGTGTATTTGCCACAATTAGCCGCCTATAATTTCAGGCCGCCCTAGGGCCCGGACCTGGTTAGCCGTAAGGGAAATCCGCTACTGCATATGAAGTCTATTATTTTATTGTATTTAAATTTAATAATATAATGTATATCATTAAGCTTTACTAAGTGGAACACTTTATAAATGATTTTACTCTTACCCTTAGTTCTAATATTATTATTCTTTCTAACATTCAAAATGATAGTTTGATAAACCTAGAACATTAAAAGGGATGATTCCGTTTTCCAGAGTTTGAGTGATATTAATACTCCTATTTTTTTTTGTAAAAAATGTTTACAATTACAAATTTGCAAATAAAATTTGTTTAATTATAAAGTATTTACTTATAAAGTTGTCCTTCCAAATGATAATTTGAATAAAAAATATTCTTGAGTGGACGAAACTCATGTACATTTAAAATGTAATATTTTTCCTTATCGCACTGTACACCAAACATTTGGTGAATACGAGTTAGACCAGAAGAAGTGTTTGACATGATTCTTTTCCCCATAGTAGCATTTCAAAAGTACCTTGTGAGTGTGTCTTTTACATCTTCAATCTCCAACGTCCATACTATGTTTAATACACTGGTTGTTATCCGATCACCAAAGTTTAGCAGCATCAGGCACTATTAATCCTTGGATGGGTGATCTCCTGGGAACAGCCTGTGATGTTGGCTTTTAGCTCTTACTACTTATAATATTTGCATGTTACCATATGACTTAAAATATGCCAAATTTCACAATCTTACATTACATAGTTCCGAGTAACAAAACCTTTATAACAGGCGGGCAGATGAACATATGATCAATGACAAATTGACAGATAAACACAAAATCTTTTGTATTATAAAGGTTATTACAATAGTTCCATTTGTTATTTTAACATCCAACAAATTATAATTAGAAAGCAATATTCCTATTTACACATTCCTAGCGAACATTAAACTGACTTTAATTAGTTTTATATCCGTTTTGATGTTCTAACTCCAATTTTATGCTATGTATATGTTTTCTTACACATAATACTAACTAACTGCTGCACTCCGAGACCCTACTTACATTTTAATCCTCCTTTAGTGTTACTTAGTAAAGATTTAATGAACTATTAATCCTAGACTCCATTAAATGTCCCTTAGACTGCCTTAATGACAATTAATTTTAAGTAGATAATATTTATCCCTTAATTGCACTAATAATCTCTTATTTTTGATGATTAATGTCAAAATTGTGTTACTATAGATCTTTGAATTATTACAACTTCACATAATTATTGATTGAAATGTTTCTTAATTCTATTAAAGGTTTTCAAAATTATATCCGTTTTATTGAGTATACAAGGCGAGTAATGACGCGATCAGAAGCGCTGTTCTCGAAAACCGATAGATAAACTGCACAAACAATTTCTATCAAAACATTTTACTAGAAATAAATAATGTGAAAAACTATTCTCGGAAGCAGTAGATAAAAATTTCATGCAGTTTTGTTTACATATTAAAATTCCTGGAAACACTAGGAAATGCTGCCAACTTCATTCATGGTTCAATATTACATCTCGGTATGTTTGTCACAATTACTTAAAAACATTATTGTATTTGATGTGTAAACACATGACTCAATTTTTCGATGTAATATATATATCTTAATATTTTTATAGACAACATATTACATGTTTAATAGTTTTCTAATTTGATATAATAACCTTGGCACCCTTAAAAAGATGAAGTCTAGCTCCAGGACACATCCCATTATCGGGTGGCATCCTGCTCGGAAACATTAACCCGGCTTGCTCAAATGCCTTGATTGTTAAATTAAAAAAAATTGATAATTGTTTTTAATTGTTACTGGTATTATTAAATCCATTTTTAGATATATTGTTGTTAGTAATATTGTATAGATTTGTTAAATAATACTTACAATATTTTCAAATATGAGGAGTATTAAGCCAATGGAATAGAATTTCTTCGATTGATTGATTGCCTCTAGCACTGACAATATTTAGATAGTCGTTAACTAAATAGAAATTAACTTACGTTTAAAGGAGCTCTCTTGAGTGTGGCGGTAACACAATTAATACCATACTGACAGGAGAAAGTCAGTTAAGATTTATAAGGACAATAACATTATTTATCATTAGACGTATGTGCCAAATTTATGAGCAAAACTTTTGTAAGCTATGATAAAATAACACATAAACTTCGATACTTATGAGATATTGAATAAATTGTCATTGACCTTAGGTTGTGTAGATAAATAGTTTTGCTTGTTATGCAAAGTTACTGTAACATTAATTTACAATATTGCTTTGCTAGATTTCCTTAAAATCCCATTTTATATCCAAAATGTTTTTTTTTATTCCATCCCTGACCCCCACTATTTGGGTTGTGTGCTGTCACGTTTTGTGTTTGCACCAAGTTGTTCTATATTGGGCTGTCAGTTTTGGCCCTTGGATTTGTTTAGGGTCTTTTTATAATTGACCACCCATCCAGTTATTGGCGAGCGACTTCTATTTCTTTTGTGTACTGGTGGGTTCAAAGCAATTACCGCCACATGATATTTGCTACATGGCCCATATTATCTGAAGCTGCTTTCCATGACACGTATTCAATATAAACTATCCAACTGGGTCGTATCTCATGCTCGTCTAGCATCTTCATTTCATCATAACTTTTAAATTTTTATGTTCACTCCTATTATGCATATATTGATCGGTGGGCATTGATAATGTTTTAAGCGTATGGGCAAATCATTAGCATGCTTACTTATAATTATCATGCTATTTTTGAAAACTGTATATTTAAATTGTAGTTGTGTAATGGGGCTTAAGTGATATATATCTATATATAATATTTTGCAATGAAAAAGTATGCTCAATCCACTATTGCTCATTTCTAGAAATAAATTGTATTAGGCCGTAACAGAATTTCCTTTTTTGGTGGTAACCAAAATGCGTTTTAAATAAAAGTCAAGTTATGCTTTAAATTTTTTTTCAATAACTATTGGAGCCATTGTTTATACTTTTATGAGAAAAATCTTTCTCCATTCTCCTTTTGATTTCTATGCTTTTAGGTGGTTATGAGGCAAAATAATGTCTCGTTACAAGTACAAACACCAGTTTTCATATTTGTAACTAAAAAAACAGCACAATTTCGATATCAATGTTTATTTTATATGTTTTAGAATTTTTGCGTTAACTTCCCAAAATTCCAAGCATTCAATTCACAATGTGTATTCTGCAAACGGTAGATCTGAAAATGACGCGCCAAGAGACTCTTCGAATGTGATTATTCATAATGCACGGATCCACATGACTTTGAGTGAGCGGTTCAATGCCAAATGCCTACTTATGAAGTGAGCATTTACAACGCGACACAAATTATGCATACTCAATTATCCATGCTTCAAGATTCCTTTTCGCATAACAAATCTATAATGAGAGAATATTAAATGAGTTTCAATTCCTCGGCACCATTATTAAAAAAAATGTTTAATACTACTTCAAGCCAAATCTAATTTTAATATATTCATTTGTATTAAAATTAGATTTGGCTTGAGAATAATTAGGGCATGGTTTTAGATGAATTTTAGGTAAAATTTTGTAAATGGTTTTGGGTAAATGATTTTAGGTAAATCCTAATTATCAATTTTATATTAAATAAATCGAAACCAAGGACAAATATTGTATGTCAGATTGTACCCTCGCATATCTTTACATTTGAAATTGTATGGCTTGGATTTCAAGCACTAAACTATGCCTCGAGGCTCGATACAGGTTGGCGGAGGTTAAAACCTTTTATAACCGGTTTGGTAACAACTCGCCCCCTGAAGCACATACAAGGTATTTGTAACATAAGTAAAAACTTATCTATACTATAGGCATATAAGTAAAAGCTATTCGCCCGACATCAGAATGCGAACACAGTATGCTTTGATTCGAAAGCGACGCCCCGACCACTCGGCCACCACCGTCTTGGATAAATATAGCCATCACACATTTCGGATCGGCGGACATCCTTATCAATTCTGACCCCGACCTGTTCTTGGTGTCAGTTTGGTGCCTTTGTCTGATCGAGTTCCGGTCCCGCTCTCAATTTTAATACGACTCCAGCTGGTCTACTCCGGTAAATTAACGCAGCGCTGACTACGCACCATTTCTAAAGTCCGTATTGTCACTGACGGTTCTAGCGGAAGTCAAATGGTTTTGCGAAAGTTATCACAATAATTCTAGTGATGCACTTCGCGCGGTGCGTTTTGTATGGAGATCAGTGAAAACGGTCCCCTGGATAATTTATTACGATTGCTGGACTGTTGAAGTGCGCATCTATTGACAACGGTATTTTTGATCACATTATTATTGTACAGTTGTTGTAATTAACATAGATTACGGATTAGTAAAGAATAGTCATCTCTGTCATGCATCTCTTACAAATTCTTTAATATTGCTCTCAAATATGGTTCACTTAATATTACATGTTTTATTAAGTACTCGGAAAAGTAACATTTCATAACCTTTTGTCTAACTTAACATTATTTACGAAATAAAATTATTTTATTAGAAAAAATTATTAATTATACTAACATTATCAGAAATTCAATGAACTTATTTTTAGTTATTTCGAACATTTGAAAGTTAGTTTTAAGTTTCCAACTTTCCACAAAACTTTAACTTTTCACAGTTTGAGTATAGATTAGAATACTATACAGGTTAACAAACAAAAACTAATAACTCCAATAAAAAATAATTTATTATATAAAATTTATGCAACTTGTGTTTGCATAAATTTTATATAATATTTATATAGTGTTTGTTTTTTTTTAACAAAATTTAAATAGAAATGCACCCTAAAACGAAAATACCAATGCAATCAATATCGTTCCGAGAACAAGCGACCTTACGTCATAACTGCGTAAGATGTAAATTGCTCCACGCCGTGCTGAAAAGTCTTTGAAATGACAGTCGCAGAAGGGTTTTGAAGTGGCGCTGGCAGAGTGCAGGCGCAGTGGCGACTTCAGCAAAGCGCCTTCAAACGACCATTCCTTTATTTTGCCGTAGTACAGCAGCTGGTACCAATCGTGGTTCTCCCTCAAGCATTGTTATTAATAGTAATAAATGACGTTTTTTTATAATTTAAGTTGTCCTATATTCTCTTTGAGCATGTAGTCAACTTCTATAAAAAAAATATTACAATCCGTCCAGCCTTTAACGCGTGACTAACATCCAGTCAAACTTACTTTTTATAATTCATAATATTATAAATAGCCTATAACAATCTACAAAGCATTCGAGGTCAAGATCAAATGGACAAGGTAAAGTACCAGGGCATACATTCAGTACTTTTTACAAAGAGAAATTGTTTTCATTTTATATTTATAAACAAAGATCCGCCCGCGGCTTCGCCCATGTGGTCGAAACTTCTCAGGTTTACTTCATTTGTTGCGATCGCGTGGATTACTATTTCTTTACTATGCTATTAATACATGTTCGTCTTGAGGATGCAAGCTATATCTCTGGCAAATCTCATAAATCGGACCAGTTACTTAGTCAGGCAAACATAACAAACATGCAGACACCAGAGATATTTCTTATTCCTTTGAATCTTCATAAAAAGGTTCCGCTCTTTGAAAAGGTTTATTTTAGTAGTAGTTTACGCGCCCGTTTTTGCACCGCTTTTAGTA